ATGTTGAACAGGCCAACATCTGGTTTTGCACCTTAAGTGAATTATATCAAGGAATTATGGTGACAGGATGGTAACTAAAACCATACAAAGCTATACAAAACAGTCCATATATGGACCTTCATCTTCAGTTAAGTAATTTATTGGAATAAAAGCAAGATAAATCAATATAATTAGGAATCTTATTTTTCGTGTTTCATTCTTACACTTTTGAAAGATGCTAGAGGTTTGGGGACAAGAAAAGAATTTTATACAGACAATAAGATCCTGGTAACTGTTTGATTACAAATATCTGGTTTGCACCATTCACAGCCATTGCATGGTTCAACATGCACCTTTAGATACTCACCATATCTGTTCAGTAAGCTTCAGGCAAAAAGGACACAAAGGTCCTCCAGATGTAAATGTTCACAGCAGTGTATCTTAACTTTGACACTGGATAGACTTTAGCTAGCAGGCACAAAACCTGAGACTCTTATAGCTAACTTGCCAGCATTTTCATAGAATCACAGAATGGTGTGAGCTGGAATGGACCTTAGACCACTTTGTTCCAACTCCTTGCCATAGGCAGTGACACTGTCTACTAGACCAGGTTGCTCAAAGCTCCATCCAGCCTGGCTGTGAACACTTCCAGGGATGGAGCACCCACAACATCTCTGGGAAAACCTGTTCCAGTGCCTCACCATCCTCAAAGAAAAGAATTATTTTCTTAATATTTAATCTAAATCTAGGCTCTTTCAGTCTGAAGCCATTTCCTCTTTCCCTTCACTACATGCTCCTGCAAATAGTCCCTCTCTATGTTTCTTGTAGCTTTCCTCAAGATTCTGAAAGGCCACAAATAGGTCACCCCAAAGCCTTCTCTTTTCCAGGCTGTACAATCCCTTCAGCCTTTTCTCATAGCAGAGGTTCTCTATCCCTCTAAACATCTCTGTGACCTTGCTCCAATAGGTCCATGTCCTCTCTGTGCTGGAACCCCAGAGCTGAGGCAGTGCTCCAGGTGGGTCTCACCAGAGCAGAGGGGCAGAATCCCCTCCCTCCCCTGCTGCCCTCGGGGCTCTGGATGAGCCCAGGACACGTTTGGCTCTCTGGGCTGTGAGGGCCATGGCCAGGGCATGTCCAGCCTCTCTCACCCACCAGCACCCCCAAGTCCTTCTGGGCAGGGCTGTTCTCCATCTGCTCATCCCCCAACCTGGATTGACACCAGGGTTGTCCTGACCCAGATGCAACACCAGCACCCGGTCCTGTTAAACCTCAATAGATTTCCATGAACCACCTCCTGAGCTTGTCTAGGTCCCTCTGGATGACATCCATCTTCAAGTATGGAAGGAAACCTTTTAACCTTCATGTTCTGCATATTCTGCATGAAAATACATACTATATTTTGATTCCACTAAAAGTCTTTCTTGAAACATCCTTCTCATTGATTTTTGAATCCACATGAAATTATTAACTGAAAATACTTGAAGAAAGCTTATTATAATTATTTCCATTTTTATTATATTGTCTAAGTTAATTTCTGGGGCAAGAAATAAAAAAAGCAAACAAAAAGTGCAGTTCAATTGACATGTTTAATTAAAGATATGTTTATTTTTATTTCATAGCAGTGGTGTCTTGGGAAGGGTTGGAAAGGGAGAAATTCAGTAATCAACTACACCATACCTAGTAGGTATAATCTCTACTGCAGCTTGTTTTCCTTTTCTGTTTGCAAATTAGCCCCCTCCCAGAAGGGAAATTAATTCTAATTTAACAGTACTAAAAGCCTCTTGATGTTCCTATCTGGACACCCTCCAGTCTTTGAGGGAATTATGTCATGTGTATGACTGTTTTCCAGCTTCTTCCTGCTTTACAAAACTATGATGTACTAAAGAGAAAATCTATTTCTTACAAGCTTTTGGAAACAGAGCAGATAATTAACTATCACTTTCCTTTCATTCTAATTTTGGAAGATCGCTACTCTGTATTTCAGTCCACATTTGAATTCGGGACATTGAAACAGAAGAAAATACAAAGAATCTTGTAAAAATATGATTAATTTTTGTGTTACATATAGGAAAATGAAGAGGCAATGGTCTCAGTGCTTTATCCACTTAGAAAATAAAACATAATTTGAGCACTTCCTCGGTTGTTCTCATTTTATTTTAAACTCTTGCTTTATGAAATATGGAAAAACAGGATCTGTAAATAGCTCAAATTTTTTTTTACAGTAGATTGAATCAGATTAAAAAAAAATCAATAAAAAATTTTACTCAGATTTCAATGGAAGCTTTTCCTGGTCTGTTCAAGGTCATGAAGACTTTTCCATTTTCAACTTGCTGGTTGAAATAAGCACCTTTTATTCTGTACCTGTAAACTTGAGAGCACATAAATCTGGACCTGAATTTTAACCTTGGGAAAACATCTGCTGGTTTGACGGATTTTAATCAACAAAACAGTTGACAAGCACTCTATTTTATTTTATTTGGCCTGGAACTACAAATATTAAAATATTAATGTATAAAGTACTGTATTTTCTCCACAAACTATCCCACTTTTTTTGACTTAAATTCTTCTTGAAGAATTATCATGCTTACGTTTGTACAGCGCAAACCACTGTAGAAAGGTTTGGGGCCTTGTTTTCTTTTCTTTCTGTTGTTGTTTAGAAGGGATTTCTTAAGGATTTACAACAGAATTTCCTAAAAAATATCACAGAATAACAGTATGATTTGGGTCAAAAGGGACCTTAAAGATCATCTAGTTTGAAACCTTCTGCCATGGGCAGGTATACCATCTATTAGACCAGGTTGCTCAAAGCCCCATCCAACCTGGCCTTGAACACTTCCAGGGATGAACCATCCACAGCTTCTCTGGACAACCTGTGCCACAGCCTCACCACCTTCAACAGTGAAGAATTTCTTCCTAGTATCTTCTCTAAACCTGCCTTCTTTCAGTTCAGTCATTCCCTCTTGTCATCTCTACATGCTCTTGTGAAAATTCCCTCTCCATCTTCCTTGTAGGTTTTTTTCAGGTAATGGAAGACCAGTTAGGTCACCCTAAATCCTTCTCTTTTCCAGGCAGAACAAACCCAGTTCTCTCTGCCTTTCCTCATGCAAAAGGTGCTCCATCCCTCTGACCATTCTGGGGATCTGAAGGCGTAAATTTGTAGCCTACCACAGAGGTCTGACAACAGAAGTCTTCATTGGAGGGAGTGCTATGCTCCCTCAGAGGTGTGGGATTCAGTGTGATCACTGGTATGAGAAAAAATACACATCCTCATTTTACTTCTATGATGGATTAGAAATAGGTTATGAGAAGTGTTTGCTGACATGGATGCCTGTGAATTCAGTAATCACAGAGCCCTTTCTGATTTCTGTGTTTCTAAGGAGGAAATATGTTATAAAGCCAACCATTCTGATTCCTAGTGCTGATCCTCACTACGTTTGAATAAAACAGAAACAACAAAAAAAAAAAGTAAAAAGGAAACTTCATTTGTTTTGCACTGGATTTGTCAAGGTCTTGGAAGATGATGGGGTTAAGTCACTAATGACTGCATATGTGCTATACTGCTTTGGAAGGTAAATGACATTTACCAGCAGTCCTGGCTCACTGGTGAGGTTCCAGATGACTGGAAGCTGGCCAATGTGATGCCCAATCACAAAAAGGGTAGGAAGGAGGACCCTGGTAATTATAGGCCAGTCAGCGTGACCTCAGTACCTGGTAAGGTAATGGAACAGTTTATACTGAGTGTCATCATGCAGGATGTACAGGATGGCCAGGGCATCAGATCCAGCCAGCATGGGTTTAGGAGGGGTAGGTTGTGTTGGACCAACCTGATCCCCTTTTATGACCAGGTGATATCCACCGCCTGGTGGACGCAGGAAAGGCTGTGGATGTTGTCTGCTTGAACTTCAGCAAGGCCTTTGACACCATCTCCCAGCGCTACAGCTGGGGACAGTGTGGCTGGACAGTGCTACACGCAGAAAGGGACCTGGAGGTACTGGTCCACAGCCACAGGCTGAACATGAGCCAGCAGTGTGCCCTGGTGTCCAAGAATGCCAATGGCATCCTGGCCTGTATCAGGAATAGTGTGGCCAGCAGGAGCAGGGAGATCATTCTTCCCGTGTACTCAGCACTGGTGAGGCTGCACCTGGAGTGCTGTGTCCAGTTCTGGGCCCCTCAGTTTAGGAAGGATGTTGAGATGCTTGAGCATGTCCAGAGGAGGCAACAAGGCTGGTGAGTGGTCTGGAACACAAGCCCTATGAGGAATGTCTGAGGGAGCTGGGTCTGTTAGCCTGCAGAAAAGGAGACTCAGAGGTGACCTTACCATTCTCTACTACTTTTTGAAAGGTGGGGATTGGACTCTTTCACCAGGCAGGAACTGACAGAATGAGGAGACACAATCTCAGTCTGTGCCAGGAGAAATACAGGTTGAATATTAGGAAAGAGTTTTTTACAGAACAGGTGATCAAGTACTGGAATGGTCTGCCCAGGGAGGTGGTGGAGTCACCATCACTGGATGTGTTTAAAAGAAGACTGGATGTGACATACAGTGCCATGATCTAGTTGAGGTGTTAGGGCATGGATTGGACTCAATGATCTTGAAGGTCTCTTCCAACCTAGTGATTCCATGATTCTGTGACTATTTTCAAGGCATTCAGTTTTGAGGAAAGGGCTTCTTTTTAAGGCAGTCTTCTCCAAAATCTGAATTAGAACCTGGTTTTCTGGTCTGGACACATTTCAGATCTAACTGTATCACTTGTAGCTATTTTGCCATGTAGAGTTGTCATAGTGATATAAAATAAACCCATGGGATTGTCTTTTAAATATCTTTCTGTGACCTTTTTTTTTTTCAGAGGTTAAAATGAAGAACCAGTCTGAGCCACTGGTCACTCAGGCTGGTAAAAATCTGTCAGAGCTCAAAAGGTAATGTTGTGAGCTAATGAGAGGGGCAACTATCCATTGTCACAGTGGGGTTCTGTGACGTCTTGTCCCTTTCAGCCAGGTTGAGAGTGGCAGAATAAATCGGGGCAGGTTTGGTGGAGTGCCCAAAAAAGATTTTATTGTTCACAGAGACCGCATGGTCTGAGGGCCTGGATCCAAAGATGCAAGGACATGGTGAGCTTCACAATACCTAGGGTTACCTGGGGTGAAGTACCCAATAGAGAAAACAGACAGGGGTTTTTACTTATAAGTCTAAGGTCTTGCCTATTCTGGGATGATTCCATTAGTATCCCCCAAGGACCCCACATCCCAGGGCCTTAGGTTTATTCCCTCTGTGCCAGGAACCCTGTCCAAGGTATGATCTATCTTAGATAATTCAGTTCCCACCATTTATCATTAGATGAATGTTCTCTTCAATCTAGATGTGGTACTTCCTAAGGTTAAAGGTTAAGGTTACTTTAATGTCAATTCTCAGACTCTGTAGTTTCCTTGAGAAAGCCAGCGGGGACATGGAACCGTGGAAAATTAAAGTGAATTTTTTAGTTGCTGTTACATCAGCCCTACAGCTGGGTAGAACTGTAGAGCTGTTTCTCCCCACCATCCAGGAAACTGACTCTCAACTGCTTCATTTTCTAAGAGATTTTCTGCACATAATCACATTGAATTCCAATTTATTTCAAAATATTTTTTCTCTTTATACCCTTACCCCTCTCTTCTAGTGTTTTTTCAAGTGCTTCCTCACTGATTTAATATTAAAGTGTTCATTAACATATCTGAATAGGTAATAACCCTTGAATTATTTCTATACTACATTTCAATCATAACAAAATAAGGCAAGGAGGACCTCAAAATCCAACTAGATTGCATCTCAACAGCATAAAAAATAACTAATCTCTGATGGCTATCAGTGATATAAAGTACTTTTTATTGTAAACTAAGGAACTAAAATCTCAAAAAAACATTAATGCATATTTGTGAAGCAAATGGGATCTTATTAACTACAATTTAGCTTCTTTATACAAGTTAGAGGAGTAGAATAATTTTTCTTTTATTTATTTCCTTCTTTCTCATTTTGACAGAACCTTTCCATTTTCATAATTTTTTTTAAACCTATTTACTAAGCCATTTATATTTTCATGCCTTTAGTAGATTCTGTCAAAATTCCTGCATACCTAAAAACAAATGTAGTACATATAACAGCTAAGCATTGCAGTGTTCCATTTTTAAATGTGGAAGTCATTTAGGACCTTTCTTAGATAACTGCATTTTAAGATTGATTTAATCATTTTCTGGTCACTAGTTTGACAATAAATTATTTTGAGGATTGCTTCCTTTGGGTAATTTTTGTACATATACCACATATTTGCAGCAGAGCTAATGGTAATGCAAGGCTGACTTTTTTTTTTAACATGGTAAAAATAAGGAGAAAAAAAATCAAAGTATTAATTTAGTATAGTTTTACAGGATTGCACAGTTTACAAAGATTAAAAAACAAGGCAAAAAGATAAAGCTTCACATCAAACACACAAACATAATAATTGAATCAAATAATGGAAGGCACTCTTAATTCCATCTTTTGGTCTCAAAATTCCTCCTTATCTCAAGTGAGATCAGTCTCCTGCTGAGCAACTCACTCTTTTTTGCAGAAGCTCAGTTTATCTTGATGCAGGCAATGACTTCCAGCAAGACTGTGAATTGTTTCCCATGGTGATTCCTGTCCTCCCACTGCAATGACCAGATGACGTCAAATCACTTGGAAAAATTCCTCACAACTTAAAAAATGCATCACATTTAACAAGATGGAGGGGCTCTAAAGGAGCAAATGCTTCCACAACCAGCATGGGGAGCACTTATTACACATGGTAGTCTTTAGAACCTCAAAGCTAGTTTTTCATAATTTCCCTAAATCTTCTTCATCCTTCTAACACATGTTATATCCCACCATTCCACTGCGTGTTCCAAGTCCTCCACAGGGTTTTCGCCTACTGTGATACAAAAGAATGGCTCATGATCTCCTCCACGGGGTAACCAATCATGAAAGAACTTCTGGATAAAGAACATAGTTTCTGGATGTCTTCTGTCTAAGACTGCACAAACTTCTGATGGAAGAGGTGCCAGAGACGAAGATGCTTGGATAGCAGGAGAGCAGATGGCAACTGAGCTCACAGTCCTCCTATGCCAGAGTAGCATCTATTCATGGGTGAGTGTTTGCTGATGGAAAATCCATAGCGGGACAATCTTCTCCTGCTGTGACTCTGAACGATAGTCAAAGCAATATTGAAAAGTTCTGCAGCTGTAAAGCTTTTCTCTTCAGTAAATGGTAGTTAAAATGACTGTTCTGACTACAGAAGTATTTATGCAGAGATTTATGATAACAAAGGAAGGATAACAAAAAATAAAAATACAAATTTTGAAAAGATACATGAAAATCTCAGGTGCCAAAATTAAGGCAGAAAAAATGCACACATGCCAGGAATACCAAGTGCCAAGTTCTAGCTTGATTTGTTACAGTATGGTGAAAACCACTATTACAATCCCTTAATCTTGAGTCCATGTATGTATATGCACAGGGACTCGTTAAATTCCACAAAACATTTTTAAGTTAAAAGTGGTAGCTGGTGTAGCATGATGAAGATCAGGGCATGGCAATTTCTTCAAACATCTGAGAGTGTGGTCCCTTCTCTGGGAAACCCAGCACAGAAACGAGACTTGTAATGGACTGTCAGTAGAAAGTATTAGCCTTAACAGGACAATAATTAAAGGGTAACTTTAATTTGCTCCCAAAACTTCCATAGTATTCTCAATTGTTCTCAAAGACAGTGATGTCAAAGGAGTAAGCATGTATGCATTCAAATATGTTTTTCTTTCTAAAGAAAGGAAGAATGATTTTAAAAGCTTTATGGTATTCTTTGTATATTTTAAGTCTTTCATGTTAAAATCATCAAAAGTCAAAATATCACATTTGCTCTTGGAAAAAAAAAAACCTAAGAGAATCAAAATAGAATATGAATTTAAAAAAAAAAAAAAGTAAGATATTTATTTCAGCGATATGAAGTCTTACTTTAAATTTCAGTAGAGAAATACAGACCTGTAATGAAACTAATGTAATTAAAAACTTCTTAATACACTAGAAGTGACCAGTAGGGATAACCTTGTATCTGCAACCTCTATGTGTACCTGTGTGAATATGTTTCCCTCCTTTACACATGTGACTGGATGAATTTCTCCCTTTTTTGTTAGGTATTTCAAGACTTTAATCTTATTGAAGATCATTCTAACTGCCTTTCCTTTTTGATCATATAGAAAATTGTGTCTGTTGGTAGAAAAATTTTATTCTCAGTGATGCAAATCAATGTTTACCAGATGGACAATTGAAAGGAGTTCCTCTAAACTCACTGTTTAAAAAAACAAAAGGAAAAAAGAAAAAAGAAAAGTCAGTGCCGGTGCTTAGAACTTTGCATTTATTTGTAACATCAGAAACCTACAATTCTGACTGCCAAAAATGAGCTTCAGAGTTCAGAAGACAAGTCTAGGGCGATCTACAGGGTAAGTCAGGCATAATTCCATATGGGGCACATGCCAAATCACACATATTGCATGCACACTAATTGATCATTGCAGAAACTCCTAACTACCAGTGGAAAGAAGCAATGTGACAAAGCCAGACACCATTGCAGCTCCAAAGAATTCTCTGGAGCAATGAAAGTTTTAACAGATGCCTATCTGTCCTCATATTTTGCAACTTGGCACAAGAAAAAATGCTTTTCCTCAACAATTTTCAGGAGAAAAATCCCCTACCCACCAAATAAATCCAAAGTAAAAATTCCAATTCAATCAAAAACTTTCAGTGAAAAATTTCTTCAATAACAACAATGATTTTAGCAAAATCTGCACATTAATAATTTTTCCTAGGAATTCAATTTCCACCAGTGTTAAGACTACTTTTACTTATAATTTCAGGCAAAATACTTCTCTCTAGGTTTATTCAACTCCAAAGGTTCATTTACTTTAATAGTTTCCTTCCATGTCCTGTGGAATACATGCTAAGCGACTCAGTTTACATCATATAGTTTAATTGTACTCTTGAAACATTTCTAAATAATTCTGGACACAAATAAAATAGTCAGTATCTGTTAATGTCATATTAAGGGAGACCAGATGTAGGCTATCATAAATGTGAGGACTCCAGAACAGAAATGGAGAACTTTGTGCAAGATGACTTCTTGATACTTTCATATTGCAGCACTGTTTGTATAGTAGTCCAAACTTTTATCAAGCTATATAGAAAAAAGAATCAGGTCTCACAAGGCAAGTATTATGTGACCACTATTACTGCTGTTTGGGACTTCAAAGACATTTAACCTTCAACCCCAGCAATGACACTTACCTTTCATGAGACATCTGTGTAACAGCTGATGTGTTAAATCACAGCTGTATCTGGAAAGTCACAGCCATAAACCATTTGAAAAAAGAGCTTCTCTATGAATTGCATATTTGAAATATGGCAAGGTTACTGTTCTGATGCCAACAAGGAATCTCAAAGTCTTTGTATGTGAAAATAAGTATTTAAAACTTTAGAGAGAGATAGAAAGATGGTGCTTTTTCTTCCACTGTATAGCTTCAAAGTAAACCTTTGCAGTCTAATAGTTCAAGGTTGTTATTTAAGCAATTTATCTCATTTGAACAAAAAGGAATATTTTAAGTCAACCCCTTTTTGCTATGAGAATATGTTTCATTTTAACTTAATAAAAGAAATGGTTCTCATGGGGTAAAGAATTTATACACATGCTGCCTAAGGTACCATTTATAGACAGAACTTAGTGAGAGATGTTGCAGGGACTTATTAGTAAGTCTAATAACAATAAAAGGTATGGTACTGTAACTACTATAGCAACATTACCAATTTGTTAGCAGGAATATCAACAATTTTTTTTCCCTTCTGTAATTGTGTTCCAGCCTGCTTTCTATTACTAATTTATCTAGTTTTCCACATAAATGTTGTTCTAGCTCTTTTTGGTCTTCCCATTTCCAACATCCTGTCTTGACTGCTGCGTAGGTCAATGACAGTAGCAATATTTCATATGAAAATGAAATTTTCATATGAAAATTCTTGCCTACTTGTTCCAAGGCAGTTGCTTTTTCTTCATACTGTTTTCAATTAATTTGGGGGAAAACAGACTCATATGTTATTGGATAACTCAGATTTTTCCTATTCATTTCAAGCTGATTTGTAAATTCTACCTCTTAGTGGCTTTGTTAATTCTTTAGTTGTCACTGAATATCTCAATTTTTTTTTCTTACTATCACACTCAGAATGAAAGGAGGGGAAGCCAGCAGCTGGGAAAACCAGAAATATAACGGAGAAAGAAAGTGATTAGAGTTGTGCCATTCTGAACACCAGAATGTAAATTTTATTCATCTTTGTGATGGAAACAGAGCTGCCTTACAAAATTTTTTACTATTTTTAAGGATTTTTTTGAGGCAGGGAAAGAGTGAAACCCATATATTTTTAATGGCTTTCATCAAATTTTTGACGTTTAAAGAACACCTTGCACATATCCTCAGATTTTCCTAAGTTTTAATTTCTTGCCAGTACAACTGTAGGTTCGCCTTGCCCAGATTACTTGCTTAGATCACATTTTCCCCATTAACTTCTGCAGTTTTAATGGTCTTGGTTTTTATTTTGTTTCATTATGGAACTCTCTTTTTATTAGAAAATGGGAGAGCGAGGAATTCTGACAGTAAACACTCAGTAAGAAAGTATCATCTATCCCCCATTAAGACATGCACCTCTTTCTTTGCAGCAGTAGTGCTGGGAAATGTGTTCTCCCAGTCCTTCCAGTGTTCTGTGGCAGCAAACACTGCTAGCTCCTTCCCTAGAATTTCACACAGTAGCTGTGAAAAACCTTTCCCTTGCAAAATGTAGTCTTTCAAAATCTTGGTAATTTCTTTCTTTTTATCCACTTAAAAAGTCATCTTTACTCTGTCTTGTCTCTGCTTTACAACAAGAAATCATAGGACAGGAGACAGCACCTTCATTTATCTTGAACTGCAGCTCTATCACTGTCTCAACCCCAAAGGCAGACTTCCAAGGCCACCCTACTGGAAGGGTGGACTGTGTGTGGCATTTCCCTGCGGTTTTTTTCTGTACCCTTTATGTTTGAGAGAATCCCTATGAGAGGTTCAGCAATAACTAGATAAACACATGAACAAACAAGTCAGGTAAATGTAGGAGAGCATACGGTTTTCCCCCAGAAACAGCGGTTCTTGGAGCTTCTCGTTTTCCCCACTGGTCTCTGTGCTTCAGATAACGTCAAGACTTTACCAAGCTCGAAGATTTAGTGGGTCCTCAGAAAAGCAAGTAAGCACATTCTGTATTTCTTTATTTTTTACCCATTTCCTCCTGTTTCCCTTTACATAGAACCCTGTGCAGAATTCTTGAGAAGAGAGACTAAACCCAGCCTCTCCACCACCTTTATTTTCACCTGATATTTAGAGGGAGCAGTGCCCTCACTACACCTTCGTTGGGGCTGGCAGAGCTGACACAAGGTTCTGAGTGCCCATCCCCATTGTCTGCTCTCTCTGGTGGGTGAGACCCACCACACAAACACTGGCTCCATTTCAGCCCCTACAAGCATCCATCTGCCCATTTTAATAAGTATTTTCTTTCCTGTGTGATATGAGGCACCATCCTTCCATGTGCCTTTATTTTGTAATGCTTTTCCAGTGATTCAGGAAACTAACCCACACTGTCACACCATGGCAGCAGAGGCTGGTTTTCCTCCCATTGAAGTCAATAGCAAAATTCTTGTAATAAAAAGAGAAAGTGAATACAGATGAATATTAACCATATCCTTTCAACATTTTTCTCTGCCTAATGGAGTATATTAAGGCTTCTCTGCATAACTTCTGAATAGTTCTGCATGCAATTTCATTATTAAAGTTTCACTTAATTTAATACTGCTTTGAGGTTTCTGGTTAAAAATAAAATATGATTAATACTTACAAAAGAGAATGAGAAATAGGAGTGTTAAGAATTCTGATAATGGCTACAGTTTCTGGGTAAATTGCTTTAGTAATTTTCATAGTTAAACACGTTAATGTTACCCTTGCTTATTGTAGTTCCCCACCCTAACAGTCACTTGCTCTTCCTGATGATTCTTTTAAAAATTAATTAGTTAGCATGGCATTTAGCTGCTAACTATAACACACAAAACCCAGTCATTTTCCCTGAAGGTCACTGGTGTCTCTATACAACTGAAAGAACAGGAGCACCCAGTCATAGGCATTTATCCTTCTTGTACCATGGGTTTATTTCTGTTTTAGAACAAGGAGGATTACCAGAATTACCAAATCTCTTTCTGACTCTCTGCTAAACCTGAGTTTTCAAGAGCAGAAAGCTCATACAGACTAGGAGGATGAGGGACAACTATGATGTGCTCCAGGTCCAGTCTGAACAAGTTATTAGGATGCCAAGCATTTAATGACACTCTTAGCATAGGATGCCAAGCATTTAATGACACTCTTAGCATACCAATCTGCAAAAATTGTTCTAAAATTCTAATGGTGCGCTGGATAAAAATACATAAAATTGGATAACAAATAGTGCTTCTTGGTAAAAATCTAGCCCTACTTTGGAATAAATGTTTTGATAGGAGCAGAACAAAACCTAGGACTGTGTTTCAAAAAACTGAGTTTCAAAATTTCTTGGTCTTGACCCATGCAGGTTAATATCTTGGCTTCCCAGTCAATCAGTGAAAGCCTATTAGAATAATCAAGGATTCATTAGAAAGAAATTTGATCAAATGGAGTAAAGAAAGCCAGCTGTTGATGCCTTCCATTGCCCTTCATGCCCTACTTTTTCATTCTATGGACTTAGATGGAACTTTTCTCATACAAGATGGACATGCTGTCAAAGGCTATCTACCTATTATCACGTGGTAAAATATAATATAGCAATTAAGCACAGATAATATATAATTACAAAAATGAAAAAAAAACCTCAACCCTGTTAATCTAACAGAAGTGCCTTGGCTACATCCCAAGCTGCCCAGTCCATCTTCTTTATTAATTATTATTAATTATTATTGTTATTATAGGAGATCCATAATACCCTACCCAGTGGTAATATCTGTGTAGGACTTGAATATAATGAGGTGATTTAGAATTCACAAAGAGGGGTCACCCTGCAATTTGGAATGCAGATAATCACATTTTCCAATGGGTTCCGTTAATTCATATTTGGCCAAGACATTAAAAGCAATTATGGCATTAAGCTCTAAATGGTTTAAAGAGGATCTTTTTAGATAAATAGATGTGCATGATAATAGATGCTTTTTAAAAATTGAAATTTATTTCACAGATCATTGCCAACAAAAGTTCTGAATCTCAGTTGCTGAGGAAATTTGAATCTGCCTGCTAATCTAAACTTCATAGATAAATTTTAACTAAGGCTTATTAAAAAGGGAAACCATAATAAATGTGGTCCTTTTCCTAAGAGTTATGTGATACTAGCCCCTGACCCAGAAAACACTCACCTTTGGGCTTAATAAGTAGTTCTATTAAAATCAATAGAAATTCCCATAAAAGTAAAGTATTAACTTAATGTGTTTAGAATCTATGAACAAGTTGGACCATATTTTTTATTTTAAACCTACCTTGGAAATTAGCAAGCCATAATGATCTAGAGAAGGAGATAAATTACAGAAGAAAGGACTCAGCAAATAACTGGTGTTCCTCGCTGTGGCTGCAGGTTAACCAGTCTAAACCAGGTAGTACCCCTCATGGAAGTGAAATCCAGAGTAATATCTTAGTCATGGCTAGTGGAACCAGGGACTCTCTTCCTGTGCTTTGCTGAATCTATGCACCCTTCACTTATAGTCCCATGTAATTTGACATAAAGAATTCTCTTTTTACAGTCATGAATAAAAATTTAAATATTTTACTGATGGAAGAAGTATCAATAAGACCTCCAAATTACAGTGATGAGATACGCAAAGCAAAACATAGATAAACAAAAAGAACATGCATATGACTAAAGGTTTGTTTCCCAGCCTACATCCACTCCACTTGCAAAGGCTTGTCATCTTTTTTGTAAATGTGGGGGCAAAAAATGGCACAACTCATCTATACTGTATTTATTCCTTTCCCACTCAACATATGTTTTACTTTCATTTTTCAGTTATGGCTTTCTACTAAGATAAGTATTTTTCCTAAGAAGAAATTTTCGTTAAAATAAGGAGGAAATGGTAGAACATGGTAGACTTGAGGAGAGCTTCTACTGCTGATCAGTAAATGTTTTGTTTGGAGCCAAACAGTTAATGACTAGAAGTTGTTCTCATTTAGAAATAATAGAGAAATAAGTATTTTGCTTATTAAATAAGTACAAAAGACTATGATAAAACTTTTTACGGAGAAACCAAACTCACTTATAATTTGCAACTCTAACATTTGAGATTTAACAGTGCAAGACTAGACTCTTAAAATAAAAATAAAGGGAAAAAATTATATGATAGAGGCAATTAAAAACTCTTATAAATTCCCAGAGGCATGGAGGTATTTGTTAAATAAGTTAACATAAATCATGCAGTCATTGCTGCAGCCAACTACAAGCAGAGTTTCCAGAAAAAAGATAAATTGAGTGCAGAGAGGAGTGTGAAACCAGCTATGTACCAGCGTACCCTTAAAGCTTTAGCTATGCTGCAAAGTATTGCAGGGTGCGGAACATGCTGCCTGCTCAGGCACCACTTGGAGTGGGAGGGAAAGACCAGAGTCATTACAAAACCTCATTGCTTTAAGAAATCACAGCCCCAGTAGGGAACAGAGACAGTTCTACAGCTCTCTCCGTTAAGCATAATTTCTTTAATAATTGTTTTTACAAGCAGGATAGTCTAAGTCAGGGGAAAAAAGATACATTCAGTAGTTTAATCTTACTCTGGATGTTTCTAATGGCCTGTAATCAAAACTCTCACTTCAGTGAAAAGATAAGGGCACTTATCAAACTCAGATGAAGATGTTAAGATAAAAATATCAATACCATATAAAGTCACTGATAGAGAACAAATATTTCCTCCCATCTATAAGGCTCAATACACAAAGAAAAAGAAGGGAAATCAAACATACTTATTTAAGTTTTCCTTCAGGCAAGCTTGCTCTATCACAGGCTGCTTCAATTTGCATCTCAGATGCATAAGGTATCTTACTTTACTAAGAGGTCTTCCTGTCCAGATCTGGAGGTCTGCATTGTATTAGAAAACAAATTTAGGAGTTTTTCAATTCTGTGTAAATAGGGTGCAGGGGAAGAAATAAGAATTTACTCATTACTCTACTAACCCCATAACCCTATTTTGAAAAAAACTAAATTCAAAGTCAGCAGTCTATTTTACATTTCAGACTGTAAGTTTCTAAAAACTCTGATCTAAGTGTATGGATTTTTACAAGTAGTAAAGGGAACATAGTGATAAGAAACTTAGACTCTTGTAATCTGTTTCATTTCATCACAGGATATTTTTATAACTACAGTCCTAATACTTTCTCCAAACATTATGGAGTTATTGTTGGAATATCTGGGTATTAAATGGGACACTAAAATGTGAACTTCATGGACTAGTTACGTATTAATGATGTATTTTAGACCTCTTTCTGTGCCAGAATACAAACCTGGGGCATAGACAGAAATTTATAAAAGTCTTTAAAGCAAATCCCAGTATGTTGCCCACTGTACAGAATCCATCCAGTCAGCTACAGAAACATCTACTAGTTATAAAACAGACTATGATGAAGCACTTCCACAAGAAGGATGAAGAGCAAATAGGAATTTGCTGTGTATGGTCTATTTCATCGAGACCTGAATGAAGGGATATTTAGTTCTGCAGAGCAGTCCTCAGCTGAAACAAAAAGGGTACTCAACCCAAATCTTACAAATATTTCCAAATAAAGCCCAGATTTAGCAATCTCAAAGCAGAAGTTACTAGCATACATGGCTATATTTCAGCAGTCTTCTCTAGTAACCACTTTCATTAATCTTCTATCTTAGTGAATAAAATGACTGGTGAAAGATTCTTCCCATTACCTGGGACAGAATATAACTCCGTCAGCGATGGATGTACTCCAGCAGAACGTGGAAGAGTATCCATCACTTCAGTTTGCCTTTCTCCTCTCATGACTGAAAACACCTCACCCTCTCACGCAGAACCTCACCTCACACACTCAGAAACACCTGCTCATTCATGAGGAAGGAGCCAATACTCTAATTTCCTAGATGCTCTCCTGTCAAAACGTTGACCTGTTCTCCAACCTATCTGCTTGCAGTAACTCAAACTATTAATCCTTCTCTTCCAGTTTGGATCTCCATTAGATTCT